TTTTAATTCATTTTAGTCGCGATTGGTACTAATAAAGAAAAATTGGGTTAGCACTGTGAAAACTTTCTAATTTTAACCGTATTGCATTCGCTTACCATGTTTTTATGCATATTAACAAATATACTTAACATAACAAAAGAACATAAAAAGATATTTATTAGAAATTGTATGGCTCATTCCAATCATGTATTTTACAGACAAAAGAATACATAAAGTAATTCTGTGTATTAATCAGTTTTGTGGTAATTGCAAAGTTGCATTTTATATCAGCAGAATACCTATTAATAAAAATTAATTTAGAATAGAAACGTTAAAATACCAAAACTGCAAACGCTTTTATTATTTTTTTAATTTAAATTTTGAAGTAGGATACGTTTTTATTACTGTAAAATAATGTTATACATATTTCGATTTTGCTATGTGTGAATCAGATACAAATTAAATTAAATTATAAATCATCTCTAAGATTAGAGCATGCTAATTATGAATAGCTTGCACATGTATAGATAAACAAATTATTTATTTGTATCCAAAGACTGTGTTTTAATAAGCATCAAACTCTAATTTGTAAACCATAAATAACGTTATTATTACACACTAATTTAGAAGATAGAAGAATGCCTATTATTTTTTAATGATATCTAATATTATAACTATTAGAAAAAATAGATGAAAAAGACGTTTTAAAGTTGTAATAATTGTTGTATTATAGGTTACGCATTACAATGTTATAACTGCACTCACGCACAAAAGGAATGCCTTGACGAATCCTTTGATAAGAGTAAAATTGCTGTGGTAAATTGTCAAGGACTAAACATAGCTGCCTCGCAAGGATCTGGCCCAGTCTGTCTAGTCAAAGTTGCAAAAGGTATAAAATATTTTTGTTCTTGCAAAACTAATTTCTATACCAAATAGTCCATAAGCAGAAATTTGAGCCGATTGAGTGTATAATAAGGTTTTTCTTTGATTAGCCCCGGATGGGGGCTTTCTCAAGATAGGTTTTTAGCCTCTATCCGGGCGAAACGTCGATGTAGTTTGGTAATCAATTAAAAATCTTATTTGCCCTATCAGTTCTGATTTAATTACAATTAAAGGTAAGTAACTGGTATTAATATTGCTTCCACAAAGTAAGTCTTATTTCGTCATTATTGTCAACTAATTATAAGCATTATATTGAATAAAATTTTGCATTCAAATATGTACGTAGCAACTGTATTTGTATATAGGCTAAGGCGATCTTCGTGTTTTGATGACGGACAATAACAACTCATCACATCAGCTAGTCAGTAGAAATACCTGAACGTGATGTAATAGCTAAAAATAAGAATTAGTTCTCTCACCAGAACCATTTAAAAAGTATTGACAAGGACGCCTTGAAAGCACCCACAAAACGTTTTCTGTTCTGTTTCATTGTCAGCTTTAATCACGAAACAATACAATTTGTTGCATGCATACGGAGGCCCATGAATTTATTTATTTACGTACATATATCTACGCATAGGTAAACGTTTCTTATTGGGATTTAAACAGGTGCCTAATGGCTTCAATTAACAGTTGGTTGGTCGTTAAAATCACAGTAAAACGTTTTAGCCTTTATTACATTTCATTAAAAATTGATACGTGTACAAAACAAATATTGGCATTTATATGAAAATGAATTACTAAGAGGGTGACTGTGATTTATTGTTTTCGACGTTTGTGAACTCTGAACTTTTTACTAAATTCGTGCCTGTATTATAAATGAATGAGTAGTAATCGTTAGTTTCTTTCACAAATTTATAAAAGAGAACTCTGACAGATGTTGTAGCTATCAAGCAATTCTCGAAGGGTTGTATATACATATAGCAATAATAATTCAGAGTCCTCGTTCTGTTGACCTAAAGTCGCTTTGTCCAAAAGGTTATATTTGCCAAACAGAGGGAAACGTCAAGAGACGACTAAATGAACATAAAAATGCTACAGTAAGCAAAGCAAAAGATTCTACGTACACTGCTCATCTAATGAGTAGAGTTAGAACATATATGTTTAATGAATATTTAACAATTTTATCCATGCTAAACCTAATTTACTAGAATGTTTAAAAATCTAGAACAGATCATATTCATCAAAGGATCGTTTGCATCACCGCTGCTTTTTATCCTGAATCAATAAACTAAAATATCCCCATATCCTTACCTGTTTGCAACATTAAACTAATCTAAGCCTACACCTTTTTACTCCCATCTCTGTCTGTAACATACTCTTCTTGTCTCAAAAGGACAGTAACATACTGTAGACCTAGATCAGCCCCTCTTTACTCTTGTTTCTGTCTTCAATGATTCTCTAACTCACTCTTCATATCTTAGAAGGACAGTCATTTAATCTTGGCCATCATCAATCCCCCTTACTCTTGTTTCTGCTTCTAATCTTTCTTTAACTCACTCTCCATGCTTCAGAAGGACAATAATCCAATGCTGGTCACCATCAGTGCCTTTTTGCTCTTATTTCTGCTTCTAGTTGTTCTCTAACCCACTCTTCATATATCAGAAGGACAGTCTTCCAATCTTTGCCTCCATCAGTCTCTTTTTACTATTCTTTCTGCTTCTAATGGTTTTCTAACTAACTCCTCATATATCAAAAGAACAGTCATCTAATCTTGACCTCCATCACCCCCTATTTATTCTTGTTTCTGCTTCTAATGTTTCTGTAACTCACTCTTCATTTTTCAGAAGGACAATCATCCAAAGTTGGCCACCAT